CTGCAAACTACTTTTGACGTATTTTTACAATAGGGAAGATGCATATATAATATTTATGAAAATTTTATGATTAAAATGTTAAAAAAATATAAAAGAAATGCTAGTGCAACGTTTTTATTTTACATAATGTTGTTTTTTAACAATTATTACGAATTAAAAATACTTGAAACGGAACGTATTTTAAAACACCAATCAGCGTTTAGTGACGTCTCTCCTGTTATGACAACTTCTTTGAGGTATGGTTGCTAAAGTAAATATTATTTTATGGGAATATTTATTGCGTTTTTTACATTTAATAAAAATGGAAGTTGCGTTTATCAAAGCAGACTCCAGGAATTTACCAAGAGTTATCGTTGACATGGTTATAACTTTTTTTGTCCAAAGTGCAGACTTTTTAAGTGTAGAAATGAAAGGGACTAAATTACTACGGTATGCAAAAATCGTAGTTGTTAAACTTCGTATTTTATTCAGCGGCTTCTACAAATTTTACGGCGATAATGCAATCGGCTATGTCCAAATTAAAAGAGATGGAAAATTATGTACAGTTAAAGGTCGAGTTCTCCGGAGCATAAAGTACGTAAAGAAGGTTATCGTGTTACAGTTATTTTAAATGAAACGCAAAGCTTGGTTCAGTCCTGCCAATGTGAAGACTGTGCCACACATTTTAAACTTTATCTAATTTTCGACGTCATTCTCCAACTGTAAAATTAAAAATATGTTATAGACAGGTTTTGTAAGTATTAGGTAGGTTACTAATGCGTTTTTACGTACAAGCAGATTAATTAAGCATATAACAAGTATATTCGCCGACTTACGTCAAAGTGATCTTCTCAGCATCGAATAATGCTCTTTGGAGAATAATTGTCATTTCTCTTCGCAGCTTGAAACCACTTTTTTCAGTTTTGGGTCAGAAGTTCCAGTCAAAAACAATTTATTTAGGAACTTTGTTGAAGTAGATTGGCACAAAACATGAGTCAACACGGCTTTTTTTCGGAATATTAGTGGTATTGTTATGATCACATGATGTTGATGGATAGTCCATTAAAAATTTTTCAAAAAAATATTTCGAAAGTCGATAAAATATGCAAAAGTATGAAAATTTAAAGCCAGCAACGAACAATTACGACCAGTGACAGACAGGAGTGACGTCATCGCAACCATAGGTTCGTTTTCGCGCGAAAATTTAAATTGTCAATTTAAAACCGCATTTTTTCCGATAAATCACAATGTTTTAATTTTTTAATATATCTGTGTTTTATTCTACATGGAATTCTTTAAAATGAAAACAAAAATAAAAATATTGCATCTTCCCTATTAACAACGGCGCAATTAGGCATTTTGATATTTTCAAAGACTACTTTCCGCTAACGCAGTCCAAAGCGCATTGAGCTCTGACCGGGCCGTATTTGAGCATTGCTCAAATTGCCGGCACGCATTGGCGACGGCATGCGTCATCTATACTATGTCTGTGGTATTAAGTTGTCTGGATCTTATGTGAAAATGGAAAAGTAATATTAAAACTGGGGGCCTTGGAAAGAGTTTTGAAGAGAACCTTACACTTAGTCGTTTCATATACTTGTTCAATGTGTTTTGAAGATTGTTTCTTGCTATTTTGGGTCTTTTCTTTACACTTATTGTTAGTAAATTCGTTGATTGTCTATTGTTACCTATTTGACATTATGTGATGGAGATTTACCTCAACACATGTTTGAAAGCTTGATGTCAACTTTCAATTGTACGGAACTGTATGATATAAAACAGGGAGAAAAAAGCAGCCCTTGCTGAGTTTCTTGCTCGCCGCAAAACTACGGCGGGAGACCTTGTACTGAGAAGTACAAGGTCTCCCGCTGTAGTTTTGCGAACCGATGGCGTAGTTTTCGACTTTCACATGTGCTTGTAAAAGCCTAAACTGAATAAATGATTTTTGAATTGAATTGAATTGTCTTCTATTAATGTTTTACTGGACGCATAGGCGCGACGTATCAGTCGTTATCTCTCCGTGGCCCACTGCTGCAATCCTTCTCCTGTGTTCTGTTACCGTGACTTAAGTTCCTCTAGATTATTTCAATCACATGCTCCTACAGTTTATCACCGTAACGAGCTTCTAGTCTTTAGGAGAGTTTCCAAACTTCGTTGATCGGCTGGTACATTTTCCAATATCAGAAGGGAATCCCGCCTGAGCGCAAGAGTGAGTGCGGTCAGGGCATGTTCGTCCTCCCAGCCGTTGGCTTTGGCTACGACTTCAAATTGGTGTCTGAATGCAGTCCAAGAAGTTGTACCATTAAACGCCGGTACTTTAAATTTTGGTACTGTGGTACCCGTGGTTGCTATGGCGGTGCTGATTGATGACCTTGGTTTTTTGAAGGTCTCTTAACATTTTCTCATGGATCGGTAGTCTCCTTGCATTCGCCTATGCTCTCCTGGTGTTTGTTGGTACGACTCTTTACGCATTCTACTTCGTCTTGGAGGTCACACAAGGTTGTTTTGAATGCTTCTAAATAGTTTGTCGTTTGTTCTCCATGGCGTCCTCAATTGCTTGGAGTTGACTCTCCTTGATGTACTCAATAGCTTGTCGCTGAATCTCCTTGACGTCTTTGATAGCCGCCAACAATGTCGATAAGTCGAGCGTAAGCGCCTAGGCAGTATCAGTAGTGGTAACAGCCCAGTGGTGAGCAGCCTGTGGTGTGCCGGTCTATTCATCATGAAGTCTCAATCTGGTCGAATTGCGTACGTCTTCGCTTCCATCGCGCGATCTGACTGGCATGTCATTTCTGTCACCAATTGTTACGTGTCGGGATGGGGTTCGCAATCATATGCCAGTTCAGGCTTTTTACACACAGTGTTAATCACAATACACGCACTAAACACTGTACTTCATTATACAAGTCTTAAAACAATCGAACACTTTACTTGCACTTTGTATTCGTTCCAAAAAAACACTGTTAAAACTCAACTGTCCACTGCGCGACGCCGACGGTGCTTATATAAGCGAAACGACGCATTCTAGAAAAGTCCAGTTAACTAGCACCCGTGATTGCGTAGTTCCTACTTATACGTAGGTAACGCGTATAAATTATAAACAAGTGCAGATGTCGTTGCACTTTCTCCCTTAAGCCACACTGCATTAGGCTCATTTTAGAATGAGCCGCAGCACTCTACCTTTACCACAAACATTCACATCGCGACCCAAGGTGTTTTGGTAAAATCTGTCTCCAATATTTTCGCATCTTTGTTTCAAGAGCGTTTTTGACAATAGTGTCGATTCTAGCATGATACTCTAAACCTAAACTTAAATTTGACAGCAGTATATCCTTGTCATTCTCTATACAGAATGAAAAGGAGAGACTGATGTTAAATTTAGATTTAAGTTTAGAGAATCACGCCAGAATTGGCACCAATATCTATATAAATTTGAATGAATGAATGAAACTCTTTATTGCACAAAAAAAAACAATAAACATAAAACAGGAACGCAAACACAAAAGGCGGCCTTATTGCTAAGGTAGCAATCTCTACCAGGCAACCTTTGGCTAAATGAAACGATACCATAAGAATAGTAGAAACAGCGGGCTGTGCATTGTAAAAATAAATAAATAAATGTAAATATAGGAAAATAAAATATAGAAAGTATATGGAAGCTATAAAATACAATACAAAGTAATGAACTATAAAAAGATTAGTCAGAGTCCAGCTTGAGGAAATAATCCTAATTTTAATAGCAAAGGAGTCACTCGGCCATGCACATTTAATATCTAAAGGTAAAGAGTTCCACAATTTAACAGCTCTTACATAGAATGACTTGGCTATGAAATCAGTGGAGTGGGGTGGGATAACTAAGGATAGGCTATGAGAAGACCGAAGGTCACAAACAGGATTAAATGAGTGAAAAGTGAAACGCTCCTTAAAATAGAGAGGAGTGTGTGGATGAAAGAGGATAGAATAAAGTAGTGATAGGTTGTGACAGTCTCTTCTACGGGAAATGGGTAGCCAATGAAGTTGGGAACGATAATGAGGGATATGGTCGTACTTACGCAGACCGAATATGAATTGAATACATAAATTCTGCAGACTCTTGAGTTTATTAAGAAGAACAACACTAAGGTCAGGGTAACCAGATCGGCATAATCAAGTAACGGAAAAAGAAGGGACTGTGCAAGAGAAATTTTAGTCTTGGTCGGCAAAAGGTTTTTCAGGCGTTTCAGCGAGCCATTACGCACCAAAAACCCTCCTACTAACTTCACTAACATGGTGACTCCAAGACAAGTTACTGTCAAACAACACACCAAGATTTTTTTACAGTGTCCTGAAGTGGTATGATGCTGTTTATTATTAAATTTGTTATTTTTTTAAATCTATATAAACTGTTTCCTTTGATTGCGCCATAACTTGTTAACAACTTCACCATATTTGACCACCTTTATTTTAGGTTTTCTATACTTTGAAGATGGTTCTAATAAAACAAAACTTATAAAAGTTGCACTGCACAAAATATTAAAAAATAAGAAAACTGAAGTTAAAAGTCTACCAGATTACTGGAGCTACAGATTTAATTTTAAATGGTTTTATTTTTTATTATTTACTTCCAGACACATTTTTCTGTCCACCTAGCATATTATTTTTACGTAGTTTTTATGGTCCCTAGCTAAAAATAAACTTTACATTGTGCAAAAATTTATTACCCATGCAGTTTTGAAGCTGATTTATTAATCATTGTTTCATGTGATTTTAGATTTATCGTTTAAATTATATTTTTGTTACTGACCATTGAAACTTATAGCAATGAGCACATAGATGTGTCCAGAAGTATATGTTTTTGTAGCCTTTATGTGGAAGATTTCAATAAATATTGTACTTATTTACTACACATGTTTGATTTATTGAAATGATATAAAATATTTATTGAAATCTATGACTAACATTATCAATATTTTAAAAAACTATAGTAAAAATGAAGTTTATCAACCTTAAACTTACTAAAACAGACTAAAAATAAATTGTACTTGCCTGCATCGGACTTAGGTCACCCCGTAAAACCAGAGTCCAAAAGGTTGTATTGTACAAATTATTTATATGAACATCTGCTTGTCTCCATTTCATATAGTCTATTAAATTTTCTTCAGATGGATATAAAATTATACGGCCGTCGAATGTAGGAGGATATTTTAATTTTTCGTCTCCAAAAAATTTGCTCCAATAGTACACATATGAAGAAGAAAACTTACTGTTAACAGTCGTTAAAAGTTTTGCAGCACGGCGTTTATATAATGAAGAATTTTTTTTAAATATAAATGAATATTCATCACTTTGTCCATAAGCCATTAATAAATCATTAAATTCATTTATCACAATAAAAGCAGCATAATTCATTAATTTCAATGCTCTTATATCGTTTGGTTTCGAAAAATTATGATCATCAGAAAACTTATGAAAACATTTTCCATCTAAGCGTACCACTATCCATGTGTTTGGCAAGAGAACATCTTCAATTTCAAAACTTTTAACATATTCAAAACTGCTCTTTGCCATTCTTGATGATATTAATGGTTTCGCAACGATTCTCAGCAAATTTGCACGATTGATCAAGGCTAACCTAATCTGCATTAGGTTTTTATGTTGTTTTGTTCGCTTAAATTATTATTGTAAACTTGTTCTCTTAGTGTGAGATTGGTGTTGATTCTAGCATGATTCTCTAAACCTAAACTTAAATTTGACAGCAGTATATCCTAGTCATTCTCTATACAGAATGTAAAGGAGAGACTGATGTTAAATTTAGTTTTGAGTTTAGAGAATCACGTCAGAATTGGCACCGTAGAACTCTGAATGTTTAAATTCAGAGCTCAGACCAAATAAAAAGTAAAGACGGAGTTCTGCCAACACAACAACAAAGTGAAGCCAGTTTTTTATGTATGTGTGCATTAGCCAGTGTTGCCATAGTCATTTATAGTACCCCAATATTAGAAATAGTTATAACGTTATTTCTTAAAAATTCATAACGTTATTATTAACGTTATAAAATATTAGAAAAAAATATCGTAGGCTTATTCTCCAGATTAGTTGTACACTAGCGCTAGATGCAACCTCTCGTGAACTATGAGCAAAGGTCATGCGCCGTTCTCACCTACAAGTGCCAGACTCCTTTATGGGGCCTCCACCTGAGTGGGAACGATTACATTGTTTTGCTGATTTCTCTGTTATTTTGTAAGAATATCCTACACAAACTATATGTATTTGGATTCTCCATAAAATTTTCTATAAAACTGTGTGTACACAATGCGTCATGTCTATAATTTATTTTAATTACGTTACGGTAAACTCAGGAAAGATAAAAAAAAGTCGTTTAGTTGGGTAAAGGGAGGTATATTTTAAAATTTGTAAATTTAAATTCCAGGTTATTTGGTTATTAGTATATTTTATTATAAGTTACCAATTAAAATTATAAAATACCATACTCTCACACTTTTATTTTACACTATATCATAAACCATCAGAGCGCAAGATTCAACACGCTAACACGGAATAGAAAAAAAGGTCGTATTTCAAGTGGTGATAAAAACGAATGCGAAGTCCAAGTGCCTTGATTTATGTGGTAACGTTTAGTGGGATGGTTTATTTTACTTTAGTTACAAGTGGCAAGTCTCGGATGAATAGCTTTGTTCATTTTACGGTTTCAAGCACTCGCAACAAGTCACTTAAAATCGCGTACCAATCAGTCATCTCAATTTTATGTCGATAAAACGAAAAGTATTTACAATTTTAATAAACAGTTTCTATTATTAAAATGTAAATGAAATTTGCTACAGAATACACAAAACAATGGTTCATTTCTACTCTTACGAATGAGCGCAATCCAGTTCTCTTTTAGATTTTGATCTCGATTATCCTAAAAAATACGTAGTTATAATATATAATTTGTATTACATCCCAAAAATTTTATTCGAATACATAAAGAAAAAAGATAATTAAATGAGATAATAAAGATGTTTCTTTTAATTGTTTATCCATGCATTACAATATTCGAATAATATAAAAGTATGCTACACATTATTAATGTATGAAGTAACGTAACGTTATGTTATATTTCACGTTACCCAACAACAGGTAAAAACTAACGTATAATCATGGCAACATTTGGTTCAGGTTTTGTGTTCCAAGCGACAGCATCCAATTTGATTTTGATTAATTGAAAATATCAGTTTATAAGTTTACATAAGTATGAAATGTGATTCCATCCTGTTTTTTATTTTCGGAAGATTGGTTTCTACACATTTTCACTACAAAATTCGGTATTTTCTAATAAATATTGTTATTTACTAATACGTCACGCTCCGCGCGCCGGGATAGCTCTACTGAGAAGCCAAGGCGTAGTTTCGTTGCATGTGTGTGCGTGTAACTGTGTATGTACACGGCGAGGCGTAGTTTTATCGGCTTCACTTTTTTGTTCGGCAGACTCCGTCTTTACTTTTTATTTGGTCTGAGATTCAGAGTTGTAGAAATTAGAAATCTGTCAATTTTAATGAATGAGTTTTTTATTATTAATATGTTTTACGGTTACGGCTCTGGATTCTAGTCTTTTTTTTAACACGCTTTTATTTTTATTAACACGCTTTTATTAGGTCGTCTTGTACGTAACTATGTAATGAAATCTAAGAATCTGATATACACGGCCTTTTAATTCTTGTAACATCATGAAACTTGGCAATTATATGTAGATTAGATGACAATACAATATTATGGTACCATCGAACTGGTCTGATGATGGAACTGGAAGGTGGCTGATGGAACCTTGGACTGTCTGCTAGTAAAGATATTGAGTTTGGGCTTATTAGAATCGCCTTAACATATTCTATTCATTTCTCCTGATGATGAGGACTTGACGATGGACTGGAAGGTAGGTGATGGACCCTGGACTGCCTATTAGTAAACAAATCGAGTTTGGGCTCATGAGATTCGTATTAACATAATAAAACTTTGCAATTATATGTAGATTAGGTGACAATACAATATTATGGCACCATCGAGTTGGTCTGATTGATGAGACTGGAAGGTGGCTGATGGAACCCTGGACTGCCTACTAGTAAACAAATCGAGTTTCGGCTCATGAGATTTGTCTTAACATAATAAAACTTATGTAGATTAGATGACAATACAATATTATGGTACCATCGAGCTAGTCTTATGATGAGACTGGAAGGTGGCTGATGGAACCTGGAACTGTAAGTAAACATCGATATGTTTACTTACAGTCCAAGGTTCCATGGTTCCAACATTTTCTATTCATTTCCATTCATTCAATGGCCCAATCTATCGAGATTGGGCTCATTAGATTCACATTGGAGATTAAATATTGTTAAAGGTGACTGCTGTTGCCAGTGGTAGGATAACCTGTATTACAGGCAACAGGGTCCCCTCTATGTACATAAATACTGTGGCCGATTTAGGTATGCGCACATTGGTTGTATGATTAACTTATTTATAAAAATAAAAGAAACCGTCAAGAACTAACTGCACCCGTATTTAATTACACATGTGTTCTAATTATTAACTAAACACTCCATCTCTTCGTAATCCATACCTTTCAGCCATTTGCTGACTTTTATTTTGCAGTTATACATTGTAAGGAAACGAATGGATAAAAGAGAATATTTTTAGCGCTCATTTATTGGTAGTTTTTTCGGGCAAATGAGGTTTTATGACATTAGGGAAAGGTTGCTTGGGGTATTATATACTGGGTAAGTAACATGCTCCGTAACAGACTAATCAGACTTCAAGACGACAACCATCTCAGAGCCAATGCGACTAAAGGATGCCCTCAAGGAGGAGTACTGTCGCCTCTGCTATGGAATGTAGTTGTAAACGACTTAATTAGCAAACTAAACAACCTTCACTTCCACACGGTGGGCTACGCGGACGACCTGGCAATTATAATTCCGGGTAAGTTTGCGAGCACCGCCTGTGATGTTACGCGAGGGGCAATGAAGGTGGTTGAAAAATGGTGTGACGCCTACGGCCTTAAGGTGAATCCAGTGAAGACGGAATTGGTCATGTTCACGAACAAAAGATCCTTAGGCGATTATCGGCTACCGAAACTATTTAACACGACACTGAAGCTCTCCAATGAGGTAAAGTAACCAGGAATAACCCTAGACTCCAAACTGAACTGGGGATCCCACATAGACAAAACTACTACGAAGACCAACATCATTTTCGGGCAATGTCGCAAAATGATTAGTAAAACTTGGGGACTATCACCGCTCATTGTTAAGTGGCTGTACACGACCAATTAGGCCCATCATCAGCTATTCAGCAGTAGCATGGTGGACCAAGACAATCCAGGTAACGACAATTAATAAGTTAAGACGTCTCCAGAGGCGGACATGCTGTGCAATCACCGGTTGCATGAAAACCACTCCCACATCAGCACTGGAGACAATACTTAACGTGAGACCACTCCATTTGTTTATACAACAGGAAGCTGCATGTACAGCCACGCGTCTAAGCATGCTGGGGCTATGGAGAGACAAAAACTCCCCGCACACCAGCATCTTAGCAGACATACACAGGCACTTTCCGTACTTTGCAGCAGTAAACGACCTTATTCCTAAGACGTACGTATTTGACAAAAAATACAAAATTCAACTTTATGAAGATACCCCGGACTGTTGTCTACACAAGGAGTTGATGGTCTACACAGACGGTTCAAAAACAAACTATGGTACAGGTTCGGGTGTCTTCTCCGAAGACCTGAATATACACATCTCGACAGCTTTGGGTGCCTATAACACGGTCTTCCAGGCAGAGTGTGTGGGCATCATCAGAGCTGCTGAGGCGAGAGAATGTCGCGGGGTAAGAGGAAAACATATTCATATTCTCTCTGACAGCGCTTCTGTCCTACAGGCACTGGATAACAATATAATGAAATCAGGCTTAATTTATGAATGCCACAGTAAGTTGACTAATATTACTAACGACAATAGATTGACCTTACAGTGGATTAAAGGACACAGCGGCTCAAGGGGCCGCACGATGCGGCGGACTGCTTAGCCAGGGATGGGTCTAGCAGGACGGCCATTGGTCCGGAGCCAATTATACCCATACCCTATCGGCAGCTGCGAACCTGGATAAGGGAGCGCTCTCAACGACAACACGACGATTACTGGTCAAAACTCACGGACTGCAGGCAAGCTAGGGAAGCCGTTCCTAAGGTAAACCTGCAACTAACACGTAAGTTAATCAGACTACCTGGACAAGCCCTAAAACAAATCGTGGGTATACTCACGAGTCACGGCTACTTCAACAAACACCTTTGTAATATAGGTATTTCTGACAGCCCTCTGTGCAGAGCCTGCCTGGAGGCGGATGAGACGAGCACCCATGTCCTACTGGAGTGCAGGGGCGTTGCAAGACAAAGGACTTCTCTAATGGGAAGCCCGAAGACAATAGTAGAGGCTTGCAGCAACATTCGGGGACTGCTGAGCTTTCTGGAGGAGCTGGGATGGCAGGACTGATGCCAATCCCCACGCAAAATAGGCACTGGGTGTCGAGTTGTGGAAACAGCCCGTCGTACTACTAAGACTAAGACTAAGGTTGCTTGGGGTCGTCTAGCAACTCTGCGGCATCAGAACCGGTCGGTGCAGGATTAGATTTATGAAACCGAAGAATTGAACGTAAAATATACAGTTGCCGTATAGTGAGACAATTAAATTCATTGTATAGTTCCCGAGTTGGGTATCTGTATGGTTTCCGGAGAAGAACCTTAAGAACAGCTCGCTGCGCACGTTTCAAGTGAACGAATTTTATTTTTGAGAACTCCCCCCCCCCCCTCCATATTGGGATACATATTGAAAGAATTGACTCAATTAGGGAATTCGCAGAATTTCGAAGTCTTTCTGCGATGAAGATGAATTTCCTCAAGGTTGGATAGAGACTGAATATGGTCATACCAATTTAAGCATTGAACCAGCTGAACACCAAGGTACCGAACTGATGGCTGAGCTGAAGGCTTACTGGAAAAGGTGATAAACGTTGTCTTGTCTATGTTTAAAGTGAGTAGATTTTGGGAGAACTAATTCATGACCTGTGCGAAAGCCCGTTCGGCGTGTAATGCTGCTTCATCCCAGGTTTTTCCATGTACAAGGATGGCTGTGTCGTCAGCGTAGGAGAAGATATGACAATTTGGATTTGAATTTTGACAGGGGTCGTTAACATAGACGAGAAAGAGGGTAGGCCCAAGTATACTACCCTGGGGAACGCCGCAGTCTATAGAGACGTCATCACTTAAGCAGGTGTCAATACGATCACACTGCTTTCTATTCGACAGATAATCTGAGAATATATTTCAAAGACACTCCATTTTCTTTATAAGTATGGAAATGGAAACTGTGTCGAATGCTTTGGAAAAATCTAGAAACAGTCCAAGGCATTTACGTCTCTCATCCATTTTCTGAACAGCAAGTCGGGTTTGTGAGAGGATAACTGTAGGTAGTACCTTGGCTCTTCCTTTGGTGTAAGCGCAAAAAAGGAAATACTGGGTGATGCATTGGCAACAGAAAAAAATGAATTGTAAATAAATAATTTTTGTGTTTTTTTATCCCACATGTGGGGCCGGTCTTTATATACTTTTATCACTCGAAACCAGATTTCATGCTCATTATGATCTGCCGTCATCTTGATCGAAATACGTGCGCTCCGTGTCATAGTTACTTAGCAACCGATTCAGAAATTGCCCCAATCACGCTACAAATGCGGCAACGTGCAGGTCGGCAGAGACAATCTAGGAACCACGGGTGGTCTTGCGGCCCTGACGCCTTGCCGCGGGGCCAATTTAGAAAATTGCCTCTGCTTGACTGCACACATTTTAATTAAGGGTCATCCCAACTCTTGCACTCTAGATTGCCCCTGCGGCAGGGATGTCAGTAGCCCGCTTTACTTGCTCAGTGGGCTGGCTAGCGTTATAATAATGTACTCTGTGGTGGGTAGTATCCACAGAGTACCTTATTTTAACCGAAAAAGGAAAGTAATATTCACAAACTATATAGTAATATCTGAGTAGTCTGTGTTACACTGTTATCTTAGGTAAAATATATGCGCTGAGTTCAATTGGAGCGTAGAAGAATGTAATAAATAAAATTCAAACTAAATAGGTAAAATTTGCTTGTTTTGCTTTCAACGTACAAATTGACAAGAAGAAAAACAAAGGAAGAAAGGAAAAAATATGCATCATAATATTCATAGAGTGAAAGGGTGCGGCCAGAGTGCACTCAGATTCAGATTCAGATTCAGATTTCGAAAACAAGCGCGAGAAATAAACAGTGTAGTCGAAGGGTACGGCCAGATTGCACTCCTGATTCAGATTCAGATTCGGACTCAGAAAACAAAGCGCGAGAAAAAGCAGGCAACCTGCTTAGGGTGCGGCCAGAGTGCACTCAGATTCAGACTCAGATTCAGATTTCGAAAACAAGCGCGAGAAATAAACAGTGTAGTCTAAGCAGGTTGCTTGCTTTTTCTCGCGCTTTGTTTTCTGAGTCTGAATCTGAATCTGAATCAGGAGTGCAATCTGGCCGTACCCTTCGACTACACTGTTTATTTCTCGCGCTTGTTTTCAGAATCTGAATCTGACTCTGAATCTGAGTGCACTCTGGCCGCACCCTTAGACTACACTGTTTATTTCTCGCGCTTGTTTTCAGAATCTGAATCTGACTCTGAATCTGAGTGCACTCTGGCCGCACCCAAACTTAGTAAACTTAAAACTTATTTGTTTGGTGTTACCAACAGTCTGTGTTGCGGTCAGTGTTGCCAACTCTACGTCTTTTTACGTAGATCTACGTATTTTAGGCCTTTTCTGCAAACTTATTAACTTCAGTCCCAGAATCTACGTATTTTCTTCAATTTTTCCAAATTTGTAAAATAACTTAATTCACTAGAATTTATTTTAGTGAAAGAATATTTTCCGTTACTTTATTTAAAAACTATACAAATGTTTATTTCTTATAAAGATGTATCTAAAAACTCTTGTATCTTGTAGAAAAAGTTCCTGTTATTGGTTTTGTTGACTAAATTAATGCTGGAGGCAGGATTTGTGAAAGCAGAAACGACAAAATTCTTTGATTTAGTATGTACATTCATAACCTTAAAAATTGTATTTTTAAACTTTAAATATTATTCAATGTCTTTGCAAAAAGAAATGACTTTCAGTCGATAAAGTTACAGGATTTAGCAAGTTTTAAACATGTGTTCACGTGTGAGTATGTTTATTTTTCTTGGCAATTTAAACCACAACTTTTTTAGAGTCTTTTACCAAGTGTATCATGATAACTACTATATTTTTCATGTGATCTATTAGAAATCATGGTTTTATAATATTAACTCAGAAAGTTCATTTAATACGAACTTGCGAGTATTTGTTTACAAATGTTTTGACGTCATAGCATATAAGTCTATAGGTAAATAGCGTTTTTGTATGTCTTTTAGGTAAAAAAAATACATTTTTTTCGCTCTCATAGAAAAATTATTAACAATTTAAAACATAATTCCAAAAAGTGTCAACTAGCCTATTTAACAACAGTGTATCCTTGTTATTCTCTATACAGAATGAAAAGGAAAGACTGATGTTAAAATTAGTTTTAAATTTAGAGAATCATGCCAGAATCGACACCCACCAGTGTCTGTGTCTGATGGTAAATGTCTACCACAGCATGGTAAATGCTTCCAATGCAGCGACTTCTCCAAGAACTCTTTGTTCTATCTCCAGTTTTTAAAGAAATTGTATAACAAAATACTCATTTTATTCGGTTTCACCTAACTTCTTCATTTCACTCAGAAAAAAGTACGTAAATCTACTTACTTGTCATATGCAAAATTTACCAATTTTACGTAATTTTCTCATCGGGCCTACGCCCAGGGTGACCATATGTGGCAGGATCCTGCCTTTTCGGCAGGTTTAGCCATTTATTTTACGCTGTGGCATATTTGTTTGGGCATTATTTCGGCATTTTGTGCCTAAAATTTTGGTAGGATTTGTCAGTTTTTTTGCCTAAGCGGGGCAGGATCTCTAATTTAAGGTTGGTCACACTGCCTACACCTTTTTTTATTCAAAATCCGAGTTGGCAACACTGGTTGCGGTGCCTAGTGCCTTTTTCAGAAATTCCAAAGTATTAAAATTTTGTAATTATTAGTTTCCTAGATGGGGTCACGGCAAGTAATTGAAAAGTCTTTAACATTACTGAGATCTTTGCCCCGTGTCTCACTAAATAATATTCGTGATAATCCAGGATCCAAACGAACAGTAAGCTAATATCTTGTTTGTTTTTTTATGTTTATTAATACTAACGTTCCCCATAAAAACCGAATAATTTAGCCGCTTACTTTCTATGAATACTTGTTCTATTAAAAATAACACAAATATTTATTATAAATTAGGTTAGGGGATCCAACCTGCATCCAATAAATATATCATCCATTCTTGTATTAAAGTTAACCCTCAACTGTTAATTTATTCCCCTAGTGACTTAGGCTTTTGTCGAAAGATTCTTAAGGATTGAGAAAATTTGTTATTTTGTTGTAACATGCTGTGCTGTACTCCACAAAATTTGGGTACCTAGTTTATCTGGGAGATATGCGAGTCTCAGTGTATAGACTAATATATATTGGGAATGAGTTCATTTCTAAGTATTAATTTGATATTTAATTAGGTGATGTCTTTTTTGTTATTATAAAATAGAAATATGCCCAAGTAAGTAATGAAAAAGTTTCTCACTATCTGGCAGACTTTGTTGCTCCGAAATTCATTTGGCATAACACACTTTGCATAATCTTCTTTAAACTATTATCTTTATGGCACATGTTTTTGTGAATATACTTAATCATTGTTTGACCGAATATCAGAATTCGCAATGGCATACTTTTACGATTAGAATTATACTAGACATAATTATCATTGGCAAAATTTTACTATAATTTAGCTAAGCATAATCTGTGTTTATGTGGGCTGGTCATGTATCTCGAAGAGACGACAACAGGTGTTCGTACAGAACCCTACTTTGAAGACCTCGCACAGGAAGCAGAAGTGCCAGCAGACTACCTGCCCGATGGTCGGACGACATTAAAAAGACGGCAGAGCCGACCTGGACCAGAACCGCTGCATCAAGAACTTCTCAGAGAGTCATGCAAGAGGCATATGTCCAGCAGTGGACCTCATAATGCTGAGAAGAATCTGTGTTGGTAGTCAATGGGTTAGGTTGGTCTTGTGACCTGAATGAAGCCAATCTGATAAAGGTGTCTATTCTGGCATGATTCTCTAAACTTTAAACCTTTTTTTTTTTAAGTCTCCTTTTTTTCCTGCAATCTGTCTTGTCGACATTAAGCTGGATTTTATGAATTTGGAAAAAGATGTTGTGCATGGTACATGATCCAATGATATGCCCATCTATTTTGACTTTTCTGTGTTTGTGTTACAGAAGATCTTGAGGAGCACGTCTCTTTGTCTCTTAAATGTATAGTTTGGTTGCTTTTCCATCAAAGCTTTTGCAAGTTGGTTAGGATGATTTGTATTCTTTTGGAATAGGAAAGTAAAGAGTCCTTTATTTCTTTTTTAACAGGTTTGATTTTTAGATCACGGTGCAGGTGATTATTTGTCATATACCATGGTGCTCCAGTTATCATTTGTAGGGCTTTTGATTGAAAGCGTTGCAGTATCTCTATGTTGGATATAGAGGTGTGCCCCATAGTTGTAGGCCATAAGTCCAAACCGGCTTAAGCCCTTGTACAGAAGGAGTTTATTTTCTAGTAACTTGTAAGTCAAGTGCTTTCCTTTATAGATATATGTTTCTTCCAGGTTAAACGTCTATCCAAGTAGATTCCTAAATATCGAACCTCATCTGCCTGCGGTATCCTAATTTGGTTTAATTCCACTTCTGGGCATATATCTTTCTTTAAGGAAAAGGTGACATGAACTGATTTGCTTTCATTTGCCTTTATGCGCCAGTCTTTCAGCCAGTCTGAGATATCATTCAGGTTTTGTTGCAATTTTGCTGATGCTCCCTCAGGTGTTTTATCAACAGCAAGTATGGCAGTATCATCAGCAAATGTTTCTGTCATTATATCTCGTCTATTTGGTAAGTCCAAGGTGTATATAAGATAGAGTATTGGACCCATTACGCTGCCCTGAGGAACACCTACTCTTATTTTGTGTAGGCCTGTGTTAAAGTCACCATATTTAACATAGAAGTGTCTGTCACTGAGATATGACTTTATAAACAGATAGAAGTTTATGGGTAAGTTTTTGAGGACTTTATACAAGAGTCCATCGTGCCAGACACGGTCGAAGGCTTGTGTAATATCTAAGAAAGCAGCAGAGCAGGTCAGTTTGCGTTCAAAAGTGTCATTAATTTTTTCTACTATTCTATGCACTTGTTCTATTGTACCATGTCCCTTTCTAAAACCGAACTGGTGATCCGGGATAAGCTTGTTAGCTTTGATATGTGGTGTAAGGCGTTTCAGTACTACAATTTCTAAGACTTTAGACGGAACTGAGAGAAGACTGATCGGACGGTACGATTTGACGTCAGTTGGCTTTTTTCCGGGCTTAGGAATTATGATGATTTCTGCAACCTTCCACTGTGGTGGAACAAAATTTTTCCAGCGGCATGCTTTGTAGACATAAGTAAGAAATGTAATGCCGACGTCTGGTAGCTCTCGCAGAGTCTTGGCTGTAATTAGATCATACTCTGGTGCTTTGTGAATGTCGATTTTTTTAATGGCCTCTAATACTTCTTGTTTGCTGAATTTTTTGAGGGGTGGATCTAGTTGATGTGGTTTTTCAAGTTCAGATTTAATTAAACTGGCTTTGCATCCATAATCGATGTTTGGAGTAAATACTTCGGATAGATGTTTAGCGAATGTGTTGGCCTTTTGCTCATCGTTTTTTGCCCAACTACCATCTGCTTTCAAGATAGGGGATCGATGTGCTATTTATTGGTTGTTTCAATTTTTTCGTAGCTTTCCAGAGAGAGTAATCGGTGGCCTGGGTTGCATCAAGCTTTTTGAGGTAGATCTCCATTTCTGTATTGTTGTTAATTTTTAGAGCTTTCTTTAGTTTATTTGCAATTTTGTTGTATATGGTTTTGTGTGCAGGAAATTGTGTTAGGTGCCATAGCTTTCTGGCTTTGCGCTTTGAATTTACCAATTCCAAGATATATTTGGGATAGGAGTAACTTTTTTTTATCTTTTCCAATCTGGGATGGGGTTGAATCCCATGCGGCTACCTACGGTCTTATGGAAATACTCCACCGCCCGTACAATGTCCTCATCTGTTTTAAGTGGAACATTGTAGTCTAGTGTTTGTTCAACAATGTCGCGGAATAATGACCAGTTTGTTTTCTTAGTGTGCAGCCTGCATGACTTGTCGACATCCATAACGTCACTGCCTAATAATAAGATTACTGGCGAGTGATCTGAAGTCATTTCCAGGCAAGAGTTACACTTCATTGATATTTTGGGAAGTCCCTTACTTATGAAAAAATCAATAAGTTCTGGTTTTTTACAAACATCGGTAGGCCAGTATGTTGGTTCTCCCGTGGAGGTGACGTTAAGTTGTAGGACTCTTATAGCCTGAAGTAACTGTCGTCCATTAGGGGTAGTTAGGCGTGACCCCCATTCAGTATGCTTTGCGTTATAATCGCCCCCAGCAATAAACCGTTGTCCCAGAGTTTTGAAAAAGGTGCAATATTCCTCGACTTTCATGTTGTGTTTAGGAGGGATGTATATTGCAGACAATGTTATCTCGCCGTTTGAGTCTTCAATTACTATATTTGTAGATTGTATTCTGTCTGTGCAGTAAGGAGAAGCAGCGTGGTGCTTTAATTTGTCTCTGATTAGCACTGCTGAACCTCCATGTGCTGTTCCATCCGGATGCATTGTATGATATAATTTATATTTTGGTATGTTGAAATATGTCTTATTTGTAAAGTGTGTTTCTGTTACAAGAAAAACATCCACATTATTTATAATTTTTATTATTTTTAAAGCATGTAACTGCTTGATGTTTAAATCTAAAGAAAATATAACTAGAAAAAATTCCACGCGGACCAGGCAGCAGACGGGACTTGAACCCGCACCCTTCGCAATCCGGGCGAATGCACTGACCAATTATGCTACCGCGGCCCTCACGGACCGCGTCGAAATTCTTTCTAGCTATTCTTAAGCTGCAAGGCAGCGCCATCTCTTCGCATTATAGGTAAACCCACAATGTCAAATGAATACTTTTACAAGTATTAAACATTTGAAAGAAGAAATAGCAATTATAGTTATAATTTTTATTATTTTTAAAGCATGTAACTGCTTGATGTTTAAATCTAAAGAAAATATAACTAGAAAAAATTCCACGCGGACCAGGCAGCAGACGGGACTTGAACCCGCACCCTTCGCAATCCGGGCGAATGCACTGACCAATTATGCTACCGCGGCCCTCACGGACCGCGTCGAAATTCTTTCTAGCTATTCTTAAGCTGCAAGGCAGCGCCATCTCTTCGCATTATAGGTAAACCCACAATGTCAAATGAATACTTTTACAAGTATTAAACATTTGAAAGAAGAAATAGCAATTATAGTTATAATTTTTATTATTTTTAAAGCATGTAACTGCTTGATGTTTAAATCTAAAGAAAATATAACTAGAAAAAATTCCACGCGGACCAGGCAGCAGACGGGACTTGAACCCGCACCCTTCGCAATCCGGGCGAATGCACTGACCAATTATGCTACCGCGGCCCTCACGGACCGCGTCGAAATTCTTTCTAGCTATTCTTAAGCTGCAAGGCAGCGCCATCTCTTCGCATTATAGGTAAACCCACAATGTCAAATGAATACTTTTACAAGTATTAAACATTTGAAAGAAGAAATAGCAATTATAGTTATAATTTTTATTATTTTTAAAGCATGTAACTGCTTGATGTTTAAATCTAAAGAAAATATAACTAGAAAAAATTCCACGCGGACCAGGCAGCAGACGGGACTTGAACCCGCACCCTTCGCAATCCGGGCGAATGCACTGACCAATTATGCTACCGCGGCCCTCACGGACCGCGTCGAAATTCTTTCTAGCTATTCTTAAGCTGCAAGGCAGCGCCATCTCTTCGCATTATAGGTAAACCCACAATGTCAAATGAATACTTTTACAAGTATTAAACATTTGAAAGAAGAAATAGCAATTATAGTTATAATTTTTATTATTTTTAAAGCATGTAACTGCTTGATGTTTAAATCTAAAGAAAATATAACTAGAAAAAA